TGCAACGCTAAGATGTAATAATGGAAGTCGTTGCAATCCCCGAGATAGGGGCTATCAACCCCTTTAACTCGTCACAATATCTCTAAATAGTTTATAATTTTTTCAAGTAATTGAACGAACTATATGAAGACATTATCATACCTGGACAATAACATCGAAGAACACCACTTTGCACAAGTGTAGTTGGAACTGGGAACGAATCAAATAGAACAGTGTATGGAGAACTTGTAGAATGCCATGGACCTGTTACTAAAACCTGAAAAAATGAATCAAATATATATTACAAACAAAATGATCATGTTATAGGATAGAATTTCATTAATATAATGTACAATCACCTTAACACCACCTTCTGGATAAGCCCATTCAGGTGAATAATCTGTAATACTGGCTGAACCCTCGCGAAAATCAATAGCTGGCGGTGAACGCTTATCAACACTGATTTCATTCTGCTAGGTGAAATATTACAAATCAAGACATGAATTTTGAAATTTTGATTTTATCTAACTTACCTGTAATATTGGATGCCTAACAGTTGCATCTAACACCTCTAGATCCGGAAAGTCTCCTAACATATCAAATGCATCTAAATTTACGAAAACGTCATCATCAGCAGTATCACCTGGTGAGACCATTACATCACAATTTTCAATAAAATCCATAGGATTTATTTCCGGTGTATCTTCAATATCATTGCTTGGGGCAGTATTAGTGACTACCGTTGAAGCAGCTGAAAAGATTTTTTAAGGGTAAGCAATTTTTTTCTATCTTTGTACTATTTAAGTAATTTGGTTCAACTTCTTGTATAGATTCTGTATAGAGTAATAATGGAATTAAATATATAATCTAAATTTTGAAAAAAGTAAAAATTCTAACCATTAATGATTTTAAATTACAAGAAAACAAAATATTTACCATTAACTACGTCCGAATCAGAAGGACAACGTGGCATATTTGCACTCAACGTCCTTTGGATGTCTTCGTGTGAAAGATCCAAGGTTTCATCGAAAAATCCATTAACATCAGTAACGCAAAATTGCTGTTGATGTTGTTGATTATTCTTTTGTTCGTTTTTATTTCCAGTATTGACAAACTCTGTTGGAGCACTTTGATGCCGTTTGATTTCTTGTATGTTGCTGCTGGTTGGCATTAGCGTCTTCTGGTCTGGAGCAGGTTTCCATTGCTTCGACTTTCGGAACAATCTGAATAAAAAAATAATTATAAATATTCAAAATTCACGGAGCACAAAGAGCATGAAAAAAATGCCAAGTAACATTTGGGTAAAATTCACTAAATCAGTAAAATTTATAATTTTTGAATAACTTTGCTAATATTATTTGAAGCGACTATCAACATGAATTAGTATTGAAAGACAGTTGACAGTTGACAGTTGACATGTGTAAGACAGTTGATCTTTTCTATCTTACCGTTGCTACACCTTTTCGTATATTCAAAAATGCATGGTTAGTCTGCTGATTCGTGATTTGTTGCTGATTTGCTGCCGTTTGTTGGTGATGGTGCTGCTGGATATGATGTTGCTGCAAAGTGGCAGCCGTAGTGTTAGCCTGATGATGATGGTTATTGAGAATGATTAACCCGCCAGTTCCATGTATCTGCGAAAGGCTAAGAACTAACGGTGGCGCCGCACCAGTATGTACTGCTCCTCCTTGGTGACCAGCATGCTGCGTGGTAACCAGACGCGCTTCCCTGATGGCATGATGATGGAAATTATGATTCAAATGTTTGCTAAGAGAAATTGGAGAAAAAAAGTATTAAAATACAAAAATAAAACATACTAAAAGAAAAAAACACGGGCATTTAATAAAGTAATTAAATATTTAAGGATTTAATAAAATAAATAAATTAGCACTTGTGTAAAAACAAAAGAATATTAACATAAACCAGATAAATACAAGGTGACTGAAATATCATTGAATTAATTTAAGTATATAGGCAATAAATAAAAACATGGTTTATTATGAACTTGATTGAAATTCTTATGATGTAAAATATCAATCCATTCATTAAAATACCAATATTAGAGATAAAAATGAGGTACAATTGTTATAGCCAATATCCGCAGTATTTCAGAAAGATAAGAAGTATTGACTACTGAGTTTTTATAAGAAATTTCTACTAAATTTGTTTATAAGTTAACATAAATTTTAGATTAGATTTTATTTTTGATTATTGATATTTCAAAATAAGATGGTAAGTATTTATCATTGTTATGCGCTTAGAAAAATATTTATATTTCGAAACAGTAAAGTTACCAAAATATTCACAACCAAATTACAGATTTATAATATAAAAAATAGTCTGAGCTTCTGAATGAATAATCAGAAATATATTGCAATTATCGTTAGAAGAAGAAATAAATTTAAAAAACGCCTAGAATATTTACCTAGCATAAACTCTCTGCTGGTGATTATTTGTATTTAATAACATCGTTCCTGTAGTTGAAGACACCTGAAATTAAATATTAAATCCCGTAAGTTATATCAAATGATACCATAAATTGTCTATGCAGATAATAAGATAAGAAAAAATAACTAGAATTTTTGAATAATTATTCATTGTTCATAATATAGAAACAAACTCATCAGTCATCCAATTCACTAACAAACTTCTTACTAATAGAAAACTATCGTCGTAGATTGAAAAAAAATCGCCACTTGATTTAATTCATCAAATTTTCTGATGAGAATTGAAATAACTTAATATATAATAAATTAGTTAAATTTTATTATTATCATTAAATATTGTTAATATTATTTATAGCAACTGGAGGAACAACTAAATGTCACTATATTATACAATGTCCCTATTACGGCTGACAATTGTAAATTCCATAAATTTATCAAATGTCCTTAACTGGACAGTTTAAATATAGTAGTGATTAAAAAAATAATAATAATATTTGCAAAGACACAATTAAACCAATCAATTTGCAATGTTGAATATTTATTTCTCGATTATTAATTGTCCATACAGCTGCTTCAAAATCATTGCTTCTTAAAATTAAAGATAGTCGAACGCCCAAGTATATATTCCATCCTCAACTGAGTTTACTTCAGAAATATCTGAATTTTAAAGGCCAAATTAAAAATTAAAATTGACAAAATGGCGGCATGTTGAAAAAAAAGGTTAAATTTTTCCCAAAATTTTGGTCGTTTTTGGCCTGCCAAAATTCGATTTTTGATCAGATCAAAAAACTGGAGGATCATCATATGGAAAACTATATAGAGAAGATGCAAAAAAAATTTGATAGCGATCGGATCATTTGTTTCCGAGTAATCATTCCAGCAAATTAAAAAAATGCTGTTTCGAAAAAAACGCGTTTAAAGATAAAATTATCGTTTTACTATATACTATATATATCTTTTAAATAACTGTAACTCAAAAACTATTTAAGATATCGATTTGAAATTTTAGTATGTTATTTTTAAAGGTATAAAATATATGGAAAAAATAAATTTCGATTTTTTAAAAATTTCACGCTAGGTGTGCCCCTTAAATCAAGTAAAGTGAACAGAGTTTGTAATCTAATTTAAATAATACGACAAATTTTTTCCACAAGACGTATTGAACATAAGTATTTTATTCATATATGTTGGTCAAATGGTTTTAGAAGATTCAAAATAGGTCCACAATTTAAGCAGAATATACTAAGATTCATGAGTTTCATTTTCAATTATTATTTCTATTTAATTAAGCTGTATATATCTTCGCATGTTACTGTCATTAGTTTCAAAATGATGAAAACATTGCATTCATATAACTATCACAGCTGTGTGTAGACTTTGCGGTAAATGATGGTACAGTAGAACCCGATTATCCAGATCTTAGTTATCCAGATTCGCGATTATCCGGACTACCAACCGCGACAAATTTATATGCATGTACAAACCTATAATCTGAATTTTTGCACTAATAATGCTTTTTTGTATAGCGAAGGAAATGCCTTTATGCATCCCATACTGGTCTTTTGTCTGGGTATGTCGGACTCAATACCGCTCTGGTATAAAACTAACTAAAACTTCCGCTTTGCCCTTGCCTCTAGTCCCCACGGAAACCGCCGTTAGGCATTACTTTGTGAGGGGAGGATCTAGAATGTTATACTTCTAACTTGTTTTATACTCATCTTTTAAGTGGGCGGAGTCCCATGCGTCATTTTTCTTCAGCACTATTAATGCTGCAGTTTAGTATATGTATGTAATGTAATCTAAGCAAATATATATAGGAAGTTTCAATATTAAAAAAACATTATTTTTGTTGACATCTATGTATGTATGCGTTATTTTAATAAAAACATATTATTCTTCATACATTTGATTATCCCTATTTTCGATTATCCGGATGCCTATCGACAACAATTTGTCCTGTTAATCGCGGTTCTACTTTATCTATATTTTCATACATTAAAATAGTTTTTATAAACTTTGTTCCAAAGTGTTTTTCACCTGATTATTATTATCCGAAGCACTGACATTATTCGTCCTCGATCCACTAGCTGCAGATGATCCGTGGCTTTTCGACTGATCGACCGCATTTGTCTGGCTGCCACTCTGACCGCCAGTCGCCAGCGTTCTCCTGTTTGTTGTACCGCTGCCGGGAACAGTCGGATGAGAACAAGATTTGCCATCGGCGCAAGTAGAGTCCGGGCAACCGCATTCGAGTTGGCGAACGAGGGCGGCTTGTCGGGCCAAACGTTGCCTTTCCATCAGTTGACCAACTATTGTTTCGACGGTCTCAGCGGTCTATGTAGAATAAAATAGAAAGATTAAATAGAGATACCACAATCTACTTAAAGACTAGTTTTTTTTTATTTTTTACGTGAACCCAGATATTGATATTTTGTTGCTTGAAATTTCGATATGATTGTTAAAAAATTCATGAACTTCATTACTCATTCTAATAATTTGATAAAGAATTTTGTTCTTAAGTACTTTAGTTGTTTTTTCTAATAACATGGCTTTTGAAATTTGATATAGTTTTAAATATAACTAACATTAGAGGCAGAAAATCGTAATGATATAACCATATTATATAGCGGATATCTAAAAGATTAGAAATATCATAAAGATCTGAAGTGATTCATATTTTTTTGAAGAGCAAATTATCAAATTTTCTATGTTGCTTATAGTTTATCTAAAATTCAATATAAGGCCACAGAATATTTCAAAATATTTACAATTTATTGACAAAAAATTAGGTATTTACTTAGTTCTTTGCATATTTTTCTATCCGAAACAAATGGCAGTTTTTATAATAATTTGAATAATCTCATATCTAAAAATGAATCGCAAAATGTATTGGTAAGCGCATAACTCAACAACGCTTGGACCAATATTCAGCCAATTCTTTTTTTAAAATGTTCGTTGAAGTCCAAGGCTGCTTCTTACGGCGAGAAAAAATCGAATAATTGCCGGGGGAAAACCCTAAAAACAGCCCTTTAATTTTCCACATACAAACGTTTTCTAACTAAAACGTAGAATTAATTCGAACTTTATTGCTATTATATAAAATTCATATTAAATTACAAGCACTCACTGTATACTCCTCCTAAATGATTATTCGAATTCTGATAAATCTTTCTGAAGTTTGATAAGGAAATTTTCTAGGATGTATGTGATTATAAAGTACTGGGATGTATATGTAATATTGTAGAAATAATAGCATCTTTTACTAATCTTACCACAATGTTTTTAAAATTTGTAAATAATTCACTTTATACCAACAAATGACAAAGTAAAGATGAATACATACATTTCGGCCTTTACGATATCGATTAGGAGAAGTTTAAGATGCAATTTTGGATATCTTAAATAATAAAAAATTAAATTAATTCAATCCAACATGAAGTACAAGTCTTATGTAATGGTTATGGTTATGTTATATCATTTAAAACACTTCAAGTTCCAATATGGTGTGGTAATTGAGACTCATCATTTTATTTAAAGCAGTTCTTCAATTAACATCGCTCATATTATAAATGTATATGCGCATTTTGGCGTAAAGAGTAATTTAAAAAACAATAATTATTATTTTTAGGCAAACGGTAAATATTAGTGTATTGTATTAAAAAATTGTAGACATGGATACAGGACAACGTCTGTCGGGTCATCTAGTTACAAAATATATGTGGCAAATGTATAAAATATGTAATGTAGACATTTATTAGGAAAGGTCAATCAGTCATAGAGACAAACTAATGGGCCAATGGCAATGCTATGTTGAGCTCCTTGCTCATAGACCTTATACTATGAAGTATAAAGTCTATGTCTTTTCTTAGTACAAAAACAGTCAAAATGCTACGTATTTGATGTGCTATCAGGAGTCTTGCACATAAAATATAACTTCATGTATGTGTTATAAATATGCATTAGGAAGATGCATTTAGGAGATAACTGTACATTTTCTGGATTAGGTTTTATATACAAAACGTCTGTCTGTTCAATTTTACCAGAAGATTGGTATCTAAATTTTAAAACTTCGGTTTCGAGTTACTTTTCCTAATAGATATATAATATAATAGCATGAATGCAAAACAGTTGTCCTAATCAATATCTTGTCCGATTCTAAAGTTAAAAACAAATTCCGCCCATTCGGTGATAAATGATAACGAGGTAGACGCTAGGAGTTAGATGCTTTGCGGTCTGATCCGGAATTATTACCATAGCGCATGTATGGAAGTTTGCTCGGCGTAATCACTTATGTGTAAACTATGTAGTTCGCGTAAGCATTAGCGTAGTCGCTGATGCATAATTCCGGTTCGCCGACTTCTGCTACATCGAGTTCTGGAAACTGGAAATAATTTTCTGTCAACATCTGTACCTATTGTACTCGCCAAAAAGAGACGACAGCTTAACGCATGAAGAATTTCGAAACATTCCGACGGCGACGAAACGAGGAAGGGAAAACTTCTTAAACGCTTATGGCTGTTTGATGTTTGACAATATGTATCGAGATTGAACCAAAAGTTACAAATTCAAGTTTTAGCTTTGAAACAAGTGATGAAAGAAATATAAATTAAAATTATTGGGTTGTTAGGCAAATTACTTTATTTTTTACTTGATACAATTGTTTCGAAATTTTTGGAACCTGATATATTTAACCATTGGACCTGATTTATTATGAATTTAGAGATGTTTTTGGTAAGATTTGTGCGTGTAAAAATGTCAAAATGAACTTTGCTTTCATTATAATTATATGAAGTCAATCAAATTTTCGTAATATTTTATTATTATATAAGTTTAACATTTAGTTCATTAACGAGAAACTCAAGTTGAAACAAATTAGCTCCAATTTAGATTTTTTGTTAATGTTTGAAAAGTCATAGCATCCTTAATCTAAATTGGACCTATTTTGAGTCACAACTAATTTACTTTAGCTAGATTTTTTTTAAAGTTAATCATTTTCCTAAATATAGATTTTTTTAATATCACACGTGAGCAGTGTAATATAATTCTTGTATATGTATGAAGCTACCAATAAAGCAAATTTTTGTATATATGGTTATATCCAATAAAATCTTGGGTTCGTTTTCAATATAAGTAGAGTTTTCATTAAACATTGCGTCAGTACCAGAACAGGTTTGAGTAAATATCTAGAGTTATTTATTTTGATGTTCTTAGATGCCCTACATTGAGATTTGCTGAAGGTAATTAATTTACTGTAAAAACACAACTTATTGCTTACCAACGGATATCAGATTGAATTTAACATAATTACCACACGAAACAATATAAGCCATCAGTTAGAGTAAGATTTTTTACTCTAATTAAAATACATTGAAAACATAGTAATATTAAATGCTATTTTATACACAATTACTCTATTATCAACTTTAGTTAAATTTAATTTTATCACAAAGCATTATAACAAAATATTTATTTCAGAACTAAAATTATGGATTCAATTGTTTACAATTTCAATCAACCCATATTAATAATAAATAATAATTTTCACAATAATTGCCACTTTCAGCACATAAAAACCTATTTGCCTTAAATTGTTTGATGATAAAATATATATCAGTTCTTGAATTTACAATAACAACTTTAACCATTTCATTAGGAATGTCGTCCATAGATGACATCGACTCGACTACCTGTAGATACAAATGTCGTCCATGGACGACATCCGCATTTCGAACTATGTGTACGAATGTCGTCCATGGACGACTTGTTTTGTGCCGGTCTTTGTTCAAGATTTATGTGTTATACTATTGGTAATTCTAATTTTTAGTTTATAAGAAGCGCAATTTAACCCTTTCACTACAAAATATGTCACAAGTAAAATAGTTTAGTGAGAATATTTATCAAACAAACAAGTAAAACGTTTTTTAAATTGTTGAAATCGGATGCTCCGTTCTCTCAAAACATCAATTACCATTTTTGGTACTTTTAGGCCCATATTTTCGAAACAAGTGGACCTGCCTTTGTCAAAAACTAACCAGTACGTCTCCTTATCAATACCAATCGAATATTTTTTTGAAATATTCAAATCGGTTGACCCGTGTTCCCAAAATCGTCGACGAAAATTTGTATCCGCACACGCACACACATTCTCTTTCTAAAGTATGCTAAAATGTTCAGAAGACCTTAAAACGTAGAGATGTGCAAAAATTTCAATTTTCGATTTTTTTGCGATTACTACAACTTAGCCTACAGGAAGTTAAAAATAAATAAAATAATTAAAATTACTTACAGATATCTCCAAATCATTGTTTATATCTGGATCATCTTCACTGAAGACTGAAAAATAAAAAATTATGTAAGGTTATGCTTGTTACTAATAATAAAAAAAATATGTTGTTCGTACTTTTAATACCCTTAATAAAAATATTATGTTGTTCTTGTTAGAATTGTTATGTATATCCAATAAGAAAGATACTAAAAATATTCTAAATTATTTAACAAAATAATTTACGAATATTTCAATTTCTGAAGGTAAAAAATAATGTATTTTCACTAACACATTGATTTCAGTTGACATACAAGTTCTTCTTCAGTCCTCTTAATAAAAATATTATGTTGTTCATGTTAGAATTGTTATGTATATCCAATAAGAAAGATACTTAAATAACTTTATTACGAACAATTTAATCAAACTTTGATTTTTAAATGTAGAAAATAAATATAAATATTTTTACTAACACATTGGTTTCAGTTGGCATACTAGTTCTTCTTTAGTCCATTCCTTGCGATCTCCCCATAATGCTATACTAGGTGCTATAACTGCCATTTTATTGTCATCAGGATATGGGACATTCAGATAATGAACCAGCACAATATCTGGATTCTATAAATGTATAAATAAAATAAAACAAATTTATTTACTTTATCAATTTCAGTTATTAAATCATCTATTACCTGGAGAAGCCAGTAACACCTGCGATGAAAAGTGGGCAGTATCGCGGAGTGAACGTAGCATCCATAAATGCACTGAAAATAAAAGTTGAACGTTACACCTGAGGGAATAAAAGTTGTCGGTAAACGAACATTCTCATTAAAGTTGTGTAAATATTCAATAAAACTTTCAAACACGTTCTGAAATCATTCGATTTTCCCATTAAGAGAAGTACCTATACGCGGGCACTCGACAACTTTGCTTCAATTTTTCTAATGTAGGAAAACTTTGCAGAAATACAACTTCGGAAATATATAAAAATTATTTAATGTGAGTCATAAAGTATTTAATGGCCTATAATGATGTACACTGAAAATGAAAATATATTTGAAAATGAAAAAATATATGGCCACAAATCTAATATTTGTAATAGGCAGATAGTATGTAAATGCATTTGATTTTTTTTAAGGTTTTTTACTCACTTCGGTACCCTGAACTTTCAATTTCATATGATCTTCCCTTGTAGTTTTTCCATCTTTTCGCTTTTTCCAGCAATAACCGTCCCTCCGATAGCGCACCTTTTTCCGACTGTATAGAAGCATTGAACCACTTTTCGGTCTGCAAATAAAAATTATATTATATTATGTATATACATATATATATATATATATATATATATATATATATTAGGGTGGTCCTTAATATGGACATTTTCGAATTTCCTTGCTCCCAAGAGCTCAAATGGTTCCAAATTGATAAAAAACAATTCTCTGAAAGTTTTAGCTCTTAATATTATCTTTTAGATAAAGCGCAATTCAATAAAAGTTTTGTATGAAAATAGCCTGAAAAAAATTTCAAAAGTTTTGCAGTGCGTCGAATTTTCAATAAAAAATGACACAAATATTCACTTTTAATTCATTTGTCGCTAAGTTATACCTAATTTTTTTTTTAATTTTCAAAAAAAAAATCCATGCTATTTCCATACAAAGTTTGATTGAATTACGCACTATCTAAAAGTTAATATTAAGGGCTAAAACTTTCAAAAAATTATAATAACAAAGATTATACGTAATGAGAAACAGATAAAATTTATCTTCCCAGATCATTCTGGAATTTACTATCACTTGCGCTTTTTGACAAATTCAAAATTTTAATACTTAAACCAACTCAAACGATTTGTCCATTACTATTATATAGGAGTTTTGTGATTTATTTTAAGTTAATAAAATATAAAACAACAATCTGCTTTGATAGCACCTTTCGAGCAGAAAACATCTTTCAAAATTTAGTTCATATATCATATTTTAAAATTTATTTACTAGACTTCTGCAAATATCGATGTGATTCTAAATAATTTATATAAATTTTATATAACTAAAGTAAATATAAATTATTATGTAGATGTGTTGACACAATATTCAATAAAATAACAGGGAAAAATGACAATTTCTTCGAAATATATTGATATAGGTAATATAGTATATAAAACCTATTGGCCTTAAATTGTTCGATAATAAAATATAAATCAATTCTGAAATTTACAATAACAACTTTAATCCTTTCGCTACAATTGTCGTCCATGAACGATATCCGCATTACGTTCTTTGTGTACGAATGTCGTCCATAGACGTCATATACTGTGTGGGTCTTTACTTCAAAAATTATCACTCCAGATATAAACTTGCATAAATATTTTATTGATTCATATAAAGTTTGACTTTACTCTTAATATAGTAATGACCATTAAACAAATTTATAATAGCGGAATCCTAAGCAATTAATAAGAATAATTTTGACATATAAATAGTAAAAATGCCGAAGTGGATGAAGTTATTATCATATTTTTTTGAACCAAAAATAATTTAATGGGTTACTTGAATTAATTTCAATTAGTTAAAGCGTGCTTTTTTAACATATATGTAGTATATAATATTATGATTTAACATAGTATATGCAAAACAAAAATTTAGAAAGGAGCGTAGTCAAATTTCGACAATAATTTAGAACCAAACATAAGATTAGGCATATTTTTTTTCCAATATTCAACTAATAGATTATTAATTAATTTATACTTAGATGTCCAAACTAAAATAAACAAGGATATTAAACAAGGTTTACCTTATTTTTACTTCTTTTGATTGCCATTCTGTATGTCTATCAAAGCTTATTAGAACTGCAGCAATTTCCTGTAACAATTGAAATAAAAATATATTTAGCAATTCATGATGTGATTTATAGAATAATTGATGAAGAAAAGAGCAAAAATATAGGCTAGAGAGATAGGGGGCACAACGGTCCAATTTGATTTTGAGTATAATTGATAGAGAATGGAGCAAAAACATTGGGTAAAGGATAGGGGGCACAAAGGTCCAATTTCTTGCTGTATGAACCAAATGAATTATATAATTCATTACATATACCACAAAAAATATAATATATTCAAAATAAAAATGCTCTCAACTTAATAGAATACTTTTGTTACGAACGTTGATACAAGGTCATTTATATCCTGATGCCGTAAAGATTAATATGCTAAGTTGTTTCACATGATTTACCTTCTACTTTAAAATAGTAATTCTATACTTCAGTTCCTTTTGAGATATCGTGTGGACTTTTTTCCCCGCAAATCTTTAAACCCTACTCTACCTTACGTTTTCTGAACAAAACAGTAAATTAAATAGAAATATTATTATATATATCAAGGATTTAGTCAAGGAGACTACGAGATAACTAGTTTTACTTATGGATACATGATTTAGTCTAACAAAAGTATCAATATCTAAATCTACATCCATATTTAATTTCCTCTTACTATAACACTTTTCAAATGATCAGATTATGATTTGATCTCGTCGGCAACAAAAATCAAATTTCGCTTATAAGCCCTGCGTTTCGTGCTAAGTGCCATCGTATCAGAAGGCATCAAAGCTATCAGCCAAAAATTGCCATAACCGTTACCTAAACGATGTAACGACCGGATCCGGCAATAGTATGCAGGAAACTTTTTCAATATCGGAAGCATTTAACTGAAGGGTTTTAGTCTTTGGATGAATTCTGATTTGTATTCAAAAGATGCTTCCTTGTTTGAATGTGCGATTTGTATTATATTCGCATATATGTTTCTGGAACACATCAGCGAACGCACGATAATTTTCGTATGTTCGAATTATGTTATCAAATGATCAGAGTAAGCTTTGCTGATGTCGCGGTTACGTGCTGGGAATAGATACTTGATGAGCAGAATCGTGAGCTTCAAGGTGGAATAGATATTCAAATTTTATTATTATTATATTTATATTTATATTTACAGATAATGGTAATAAAATCTAATTTTTAGTATTAATATATCTTATATATAAAATTCTTCAGTACAGATGTATAAATGAAAACTCTACATGGTTATTCGAATTTTGATAAAAAAATTTGAAGTTTATTAAGGGTAAATTTAAGGATTTAAGAAATTATAAAAATATAGTAATACTATAGACATAAATGTTTTTTTTTGACTCTGTTTTATTCAGCAATCAGAAATACATAAAGATTCCTATGAGCTAAATTGACAATATTTAAGAGCGATACCTAAGAAGAACTCCAATGAGATCTTCTCAGTTTAACAATTAATATGATAATATTATATTAGACCTAATCTAAAACTAAGTCTAAAGGCCATTGACGTTTCAATCTCCTTATGCCAAAAGGTTGAGTAATGTCAACTATAGATGGGTTCGAATGTGAGTCCAGTTTGCGTTTGTATTTTTCCTTGAATTCTTTGAACGTTAATTGCACCGTTTTCATGTTGAGGCCGCTGTGAATGGTTTCATTTGTCACGTACCACGGAGAATTAAGTATTGTACGTAAATTTTTTGACTGAGTTCTCTGCATTATAGCTATATTTGATTTGTAAGCACATTCCCGGAGCTCAATTCCGTAGGTCCAGATTGGTTTAATGATTGGTTTATATAGCAGCAACTTATTTTCAAAAGAGAGCTTGGACCTTTTGCAGTAGCCTATCAAATTCTTTCATCTTGATCATTATTTGCTGCTTTTTTGTTTTTATGTGGCTTTTCCAAGTAAGTCTGCTTTCTAAATGGAGACCAAGATATTTTATTATGTTCTGTTTCGGAATCTGGACGTTATTTAAATATTGTAGAAATGAATGAAAATGATTGCAAAAAACAACATATCATTGTTTGACATTGAAAACATTTTGACAGAACTGCCATCAGCCATAAATGTCATTTCACTTGAAATTTGAATATTGAGCCTGAACATTATTAGAACATAATATGTTCAAATAAGAAAATTGCCGAAAAGCAGCTGAGACATATAAGAAAAATAAAATAATAAAAGATATAGTTTATGTTCGGTAGATGAAATTATATAATTTAGTGTGACAGATTAATTTTTTTAACTTATGCATGTCATATTTTGCCTTACTCTACTAAATTATTGCAGAATACAAATAAAAATTTCTCATTCAAAAAATTATTTAGAAGTTTTATTATGGAATATTTAGTTGATCGTAGATTGAATAATGTACATATGAAGAGGATTTGACAAATTAATTAACTCAAAATATGATCTTAAGTAATAATGTATATGAGTTATTTGTGAGAAAAATGTAATTAAGATATTATAATTACTAAAAACCAATTGAAATATGGTACAAATAGTATAAATTTTAAAAATAATAGCATTAATGAAGCAATTATTTTCAGTGAAAAAATCCAAGGTGATTTTGTATTTTTACCGCGAATACTATAATAATATAATTCTTTTTGAATTTGTTATACTGTTTAAAGGCTGAAATTTTCAAAACGTATATCTTATATTAAGACCATAAATGAATCATAAAAGCAGACGATAAATTTTTGTAGAATAAATTTGGAAAATCAATGTTTTAGTCCTGGAGGATATCCACAGTTATAATAAACTGAGCTATTGGAAATAAATTCGTTCTAAAAATTGTAGTGTAACATTTTTAATTTACACTTTTAAAGAACATATTTCGATATTTATTTGTTTGATATATATATATATATATATATATATATATATATGTTATATGGTTTTATGTGGCTGATTTGAACTTCTCTGATTTGGAAGAGTTAAGTGTGGGAATTGAGACTTATCATTTTATTAAAAGCAGTTCTCCATTTAACACCACTCAAATTAATGTTATATTTTAGTATAGATAGTATTTTAAAAACTATTATTATTAGTTTTAACTAAACAGTGAATATTAGTATAAGATATTGAAAAAAAATAAACTTTTGAATTGTAGACGTGGGTACAGGGCAACGTCTATCGGGTCATCTATATATATATATATATATATATATATATATATATATATATATATATATATATATATATATATATATATATTTAATTATTATAAGTGACTATTTTGATATTAGTTGACCCAAATATAAAAACATACACCCCGACAAGACAAAACACAAAGATCATTCCCCATAATGATGACGACCTCTAAGAATAATCGTCAGCCAAGTTTGCGGTCCTCTATATCACGTAGATTAACCTAAAATAATTATTTGCGAGTATAATTAATAAATGTCACATTCGGACGGTCGGTCCCACCCTCCTGGACTAATAATGTCATAGGCAGTGCGGTGTGGCGGCGGACAGGTACTATAACAATTTTTAATTATCCCGCCAGGAACAGGGTGGTCACGTACCATTACATGGGTTCAAGGTGTACATGAAATATCACTCCATTTATAGAGAGCGAACTAACAGACTAAAGAAAAAATGTAATTTGCTGTAAAATGTTGTAGAACAATGGCATTTATGAAGAAAGCATTATATTTCTTTTTTCATTTTTTTATAGGTTGGACGTCACAAAATGCATGTTGAGCGATCCTTCAATATGAATAGGAAAAGGTGATCTGTCCAAAAAATGAAAAATATTTCGAATTTGAATTGAATGAACTCATAGAAAGATTCATAATGTAACAAATTGTTTAATTTTTAAAATATTAAGTAAAAAAAGATTTTTTAAAATTTACTTTATATTTAATTTTCAAGTTATTTAGATGGTACTTGTGTCTTAGATAATTTTGGTTTTTAAATAAATTGGAATCAATAATAAACACTAAGACTTATATTAGCAATTGCCCTGCCTTAGTTAATTTCTCAGAACATCCACTGGTGATGGCAAATAAAGAGCACGATGGCATTAGAGTAACCCAAAGCCAACCCATTTCCATCCATTTTAAGCAACGCGTGACAAAACCGAGTCAAGTAGGGCGATATAATTGCCCAAAGCTAATAATAATTTGGCAAAATGATCGTGCTCTGTATTTCATCTTGGAGAGTGTTTCGCAAAGTTGACTTTGAATAATGTGCATGGCTGACAAAAATGGACGATGAACAAAATGTTAAATTTATCTACTGAATCAAGCCGAAAAATACATAACATACATAAAAAATTAGATCAGTGTTTCAACCAAATTCATGATTACAATTTAATATAAAAATTGAATCCATTTTGAGCCAATATAAATTTGTAAGTTTTTCTATATAATTAAATTGGTATAAATTAAGATGCAAATACATCCCTTTGGAATTGTTCTGTATTATCTCAGGAGCCAAACTTATAAATGAATAATTAATTCATTTTCATAAAATTTCTGTACATTTATATCACGTTTAAGGCTTTTTTTAAGATACTTAAAGAAGAATTATGCAAATTTTAGTACATTCATATTATATTCAAGGTATTTTCACAAGCATATGAATAAGCAAAATTCAATATATTGGATGAACAAAACTAGTGGATAAACATAATTAGTTTATAATATTCCTGAACAAAATTTTAGATAATATAATTTTTTTTTAGAAGAAGACTACCAAAATAACGTCCAATTGAAGAATTCTATCAACATTATCAACAGCTTAATTCATCATTTAAATACAATTAGATTTAAATAAAATTAGAAGATACATATATGAAATCGATATTAGATATGCTTGATATTTATAAATTTCATTATTTTATTCAGTAATATTGTAATATTTACAAGTTAAATTTTTAAAATTCTTCAAAACTGATAAGTAAAAATCTTATCTTAAATCTTAAATTTAATTAATAATTTTTAACTTTAAGGTAAGTTATAGTAATCGCAAAAAAATAGAAAATTCTATTTTTACATCTTATACG